ACTCTTTCTCTCTTTTTACCTTCTGGAGCTCCTGCCACCCCAAATGTCTCTTTGCTTCACTTTTATTTTTGTCTCTTCCTGTTGGTTGCAAATGCCACTGCCACTTGTTTAAATGTTGCTGTCATACTCTGTTGAGGGGCTGTCATACAGGATTGTAGAAATAGTTTCCCTTCAGGACATATGATTTAACCACGACAACTTGTTACTGTTGGTGTAGATAGAAGGCTCATTATGAAAATCAAAATGTCAAGGAGTCCATTTTGCCTATTGTGAGATACTTGAAAAAATAAACCAAAACCCTACAAAGTTATTTTCAACATAGTATCTTGTTTTCAAAGCCAATATATTTTCAAAACCAATAACAGCCTGACATGTTTTTCTCTCCATCCAACTTTTTAATGGCCACCTGAAATATTTGCAAGGAAAATCAAAGATTGAAGTCAAATGACTACTGATAGGTGGGATTTTCTGGCCTTCTGAAAAAATGCCTGAAGTTTAATGGGTAGTATATATATGCTGTTTGTAATTGTGTAGGAGCATCTGCCCTTGCTGGTCTATCACGTACAAAGGAATCATGCAATTTTCTGTAGTCATACCGGTTACATGAAATTCGAGGTGTTGGTGTGGTGTGAAGCAAGGCCTTTATCTGTACAACATGTCTTTTCACTTGTTGGTAATTGATAGCAGAGGCACTTCAGGAAGCAGCCTGGCTCTCTCTACCAGAGGGATCTCTCTTTCACTGTGCACAGGTTTAGTGTTTGTTTTAGACAACTTGGCAAGTGTTTTGGCTGTAGGGAGGTTTGGAATCTTAAGAAAACATGCTATATTAAGGCTTCATGGGGTTTTGTTTATAGGGCTTCTGGATCATCCTAGACTTCAAGCCCCAACTATTTTTGCTGCCTGTTTTGCTGAAAATAATGTCAATCAGATTTGAATTAGAGTCTCTATCAACTTAATATAAGGCAACTTCCCTAGAAACAGTTATGCATGGCTCCCAGTGACTGCTAGCAGCCTGTGGGGTACCTGTGACTACTTCCCATGTCCTTGGGGTGGGCAGCAAGGATGAAGGAGGGAGTCCCAATCCCTCTGCAGGCATCTCTTGTGTGCAGCAACATGCTGTGCAGCAAACCCTCTGGTGCTGCCTTGTTTCAGCTTCTGACACCCCCAGGCAGCATGCTGAGATGGTTATCTTGAGTTTATGGAAGTATTTGTCTTTCTGTATGTGTTTCCACACAAGTGCTTAACTCTTCAACAAGGGATTCCTGTGAGTCGTCTGGAAGAGAGGAAGTGAGAAGATAGATTGCAGGGAAAATGGGATGTGAGGTGAAGTGCAGTGTTACAAGTGGTGAAGTTTCTCCAGGGGAAAGGGGCTGAGGGAAAAGGTTGGGTGTCTTACAAGTATTCCAACTGTGTTTAATTATAGAGAACCAGTTTGAAGTCAGCTGAATAGAAAGGCAGATAACAGCTTTTATTATTATTATTGCTTATTTTCTTTATGTAATTAGTTTTCTGTAAAACATGAGAAGCTCTAGGGGGAAAATGTAGAAGAAAGTTAAAAACAAACCCAAGTTCACAGAGGACTTGTGTGCTCTAGCTCCAGGCTCTGTTTGAGTTCATTGGAAACACTGGTGGTCTTTTCTTCATGATGGGAAATGGTACTTTCTTTTGAAATAAAGCAAATGGATGCTAATGACAGCTCTTTCAGACATTTGAATACCAGGTCTATTGCAGTCTTCATATGAACTTTATTTCAACAAAACCGTTGGGTTTTCTCCTCTGGCTTCTACCACAGTGTTAAAGCTAGATACTTAAAAGTCTCTGGGTTTGGGATTCCTCTCCTGTTTTCCATGTCAATTACAATTATGTTGTTTTTGAGCAAGAGGTTGCCAGCAGGGAATACCGAGGAGTGCCAAATTAAATTTCAAATACATTTTGTTCTTTGTTCATGTTGAGAATTATTTCTCCCCTAAGGTTGCTGTGCTCAGCAAAATGAGATCAGGTTGCCTCTTAAACTCTCAGTAACATCAGTCTAGTTAAGTTATTAAGGCCATCTTAGTGGCTAGCACTGTTGACACCTCCTTGGAAAGCTGGTGTAGCATGAACGTCATGGGCCCTGAGTAAAACAAAAAATAAAGGCTGGCGATAACTTCAATATGAGCAATCCTGAGTCCACTGTATTGGTACCTGGCTGCCTCCTAAAGAAGTGTCTCTGAGAAATGGGAAGGTTGCTTATTTTTAACATATGTGTTCGTTATAGCCCCGCTTTCTGATAAACAATGCCGGAATGAGACAATGCAAATTATAGCAAAGTGAAAGAGAAATATATATGTAAGCCATTGAAATCAGCCAGTCCTGAATGACTTTTGGTGATTGGCCAGTAAATGATGTTTCACCACCAAGCAAATGTTTTTAATTCTTCTTTTACTTTTGAATTTATATTTTGAATATTTGCTTCCCAATCCAGATTTTGGATTTGTTAGCATGTTACAGATAGATAGCCTTTAGCTGTGTGTGCAAGTCCTGCCTCTGTGCCCATTTTGCATTTCAAGCAGTTAGCTTAATTTCTATCAAGAAGAGACACTAATTGTAGGGGAACGATAGGAGGTAGCAAGATGCTATGACAATTAAGGTAATACATCACATATTACCTATGCAAGTTTTCATGATATAAGCTATTTTCAGATGTCAAGTAAGCCTAATAAGAACTTGAACTCTTGCAAGGTGGACAGTGTGGCATTCCCTGCTTCATGTGAATGGGTATGTTGAAACACAAAGTATATGGTATGTTTAGTTTTACACAATAAATCACAGTCAGAGGTCAGGAAAGAAGAACAGAGTTCCAGGCCCACTGGGAGCCTTGATTCTCTGACAGGTTTCTAGAAGATGAGCAGTAATTACTGAACTTCTTGTGGCAAAACTCATTCATAACATCAATGATGTAGACCAGGGATTTGGTGCACAGTCTGGAAAACAATTGGTAAAATTCTTTGTATTCTCTCTGGAACCAAGATATCCGTTCTGCCAATAGCTAATTATGTTTGACCTGCTTGTTTTGTGTTGGCCTGAAGCAGAGCTTCCCCAGAATGCTGTAGCAACATGTTAGATGCGGTCCCACTTTTTAAAATTCTAACCAACCTTTTTTTACTTTCTCTTGTTAATCCCCAGAATGCAACAGCAACAACAGCAACGTCGAATGTTCACAGCTGCCATCCTGGCACTTGTTTTCATTCTGGCAGCTGTGAGTACCACAGAGGCTGGCAAAAAAGAGAAACCAGGTAAGGTCCAGTGCAGTTCAGAGTTAATCCCCGTGATAGATTGCATGTGTGGGAGAATGTCAAATGGTTCTGGTTTTGTTATGAATTTCAGGTTGTTTGTTAACCTTTTGACATACAGGGTAGGGCTTTGTGGCTGTGACACGTTATTCTGTGTTAAGTAGGAAAACAAAAAGTCATTTCCATGAAAGCTAGCAGCTTGACAGCCTCCTAGTCCTTATTTTACCACAGTGTGGGTATTGCAAGGCAGCTTAATATTTACTCTGGGAATAGGTTCATTCTTGACTTAGGGAGATCCAAATAGGAGTGATGAAAGAGCAGTTACCATGCTGCTTGTTTGGTGTTGTATCTGACAATGCTAGGCCAATGCTGTGTGATGTGGAAATCTTCCCACAAAGAACGGAACTAGCTGGCTGCTGCATAAAGACTGCCAGACATGCAGCTGTAATTGCTTTCTGCCAGTGATGAACTCACACCTCGTTATAGGGGAGACAGGCCTGAAGTGGAAAACTCGTATCTATCAAACCCAGTTTTGACATTTTTTAAGGAATGCATCTTTTGGTGGTTTTCTTAAGGTCTTATGATTTACAGGCCACTTACCAGTTAAAATGACCTGTGAGTCTATCTGAATTACTGTTCTGATTACAAAGGTGTTTATAGACATTGTGGCTGTATGGAAATATGAGAAAATGTGAACATAAGTATACAGAAATTAGAAGGAAAATAATTTTATATAAGGCTATTTAAAGTCACTTGAGATGTTTTGGGAGGAACACTTGGGTTTGATGACATTGCTGTCTTTTCTTATCAGACTTGGGTTTAATGATTTAAATGAAACTATGATCCTTACTTTTGTTCCTGAGCACGTGTATTAACAGCATTTTGCGTACAGTTCTCCGTGTAGATTTTTCTTCACCTTTGGGGTTTTGGTCATATTCTGCCATAGAATGTGGCATAGTATACCAGTTGAAAAGTTTGTATCGCACAGCTGTTCCCTGGAGGTGCTCAAATACTCTGATACACAACATTAACACATACATTTGAGGATGATGGTGGTGAGGCGCTGGCACAGGCTGCCCAGAGAAGCTGTGGCTGCCCCATCACTGGCAGTGTTCAAGGCCAGGTTGGACACAGGGGCTTGGAGCAACCTGGTTTAGTAGAAGGCATCCCTGCCCATGGCAGAGGGGTTTGAACCAGATGATCTTTAAGGTTCCTTCCAACCCAAACCATTCTATGACTCTATGATTTCTTATCTGTATAGTGCGTTGTGCTTCAGTTGGAACTGAAAGTATTTGGATGCTATCTGCTACTGGAAACAGAGGAGTATCCTTTCTGAGTTAGCCCTGTATGTTTCGGTCAGTGATGCCTGAGAGTTTCTAGGTGATTCCCCATCGTGAAGATGAGAATCCACTTCAGAATATCTAAGTGGACTAGTAGACATGCTAGTGGGACTGAATTTGAATGATCCACCCTGTTTTGGAGTCCTAGAGTTTGACCTGTCTCTGCAGAACTGTGAAGAGGATGCCAGACCTTTTGCTTTTGAAGCAATTGTTTTATAAATGTCTTCCTCATTCACTGTTTCAGGTGATGTGCCTATTTAATGAAGTTTAGGGAACTTCTCCATAGGCTCTGGGTACTAACCATTTCTCTTGCTTGGTTTGTTCCTTGTCTTCACCCAGAGAAAAAGGCAAAGAAGTCTGACTGTGGGGAATGGCAGTGGAGTGTCTGTGTGCCCACCAATGGTGACTGTGGCCTGGGGACACGTGAGGGCACTCGCACTGGAGCTGAATGCAAACAAACCACCAAGACTCAGAAGTGTAAGATCCCCTGCAATTGGAAGAAGCAATTTGGAGGTAAGCATTGCTCTCTCAAGGGATTTGCTCTGTACTTAAGTATGGAGCAGGAAGCCTGTACTTTCTGCTTAGCCCCAAATGTCTTGGTGAATGGGATACTCCTGTATTTCAAGTTTGTCAGAGCTAGAACACGTAAGTCATCAGAAGGCAGCTTCTTCAGAGCAAAGCAGCTCCTCTGCAGCATATAACCTACTCGTAAACTCAGTCTCCCAGCAGCACTCTGAAATCTGTTCTCTTGTGGTTTACAACCCTGTTTAAGGCAGCAATGTAAATGTTGTGTGTTCACTCACAGTTGTGAATACAAAAGCTTCTGGTGGATGCCACAGGCTTTACCTGATCTTGCAGTGTGTGATTTGCAGCATGGACCATGGGTGGCTACCAGTACGTTCTGTGAATGGAATTAATGAAGACCAGTGTATTTCATCTGTATTATTCAGTTCAGAAAGTTTGTATGTAACAGTTTAGACAGATGTTGGGTCTGTCCTGGACAAGATGTCTGTCCAGGAGTTAGATCTGATAACTCTTGCAAACTTAGCTTTTTTCCAGTAAACAGCTTGTATGGCTTTGCCATCATTGTGGCCTTATGAAGACAATCAGTGCTGCAGTTTCAAGCTTTACAAGTTCATAGTTGCACTTATATTCTTGAAACTATTCAAGCCTTGTTTGGTAACCTTTGATATCACACAAATGGAGAAACAGCCATATAGTATGTGAATGACATTTCTCATTGCTGTTGTTTCCTTCTTTTTTTAAAATTGTGTATCTTCATAGTTGAATGTATTTTCCTTTATATGACAATAAGGCAATATCCATGCAAAAACAAGAGGATTAAATTTAAAAATATTTTTTGGGGGGAAACTGCAATTATCATTGCAAGTCATCTTTAAAGTTTTCTTGGAATTCCTTTCTTCAGTTGCATTATCCTTTTGTCTACAAGCACTAATTGTGATACCCTATTAGACTCATAGCATTTTTGTTTTCACATTCAGTGATTCTGGTTTAAAAACTGCCATTATTTACTCATTGCAGCAGAGTGCAAATACCAGTTCCAGGCCTGGGGAGAGTGTGACCTGAATACTGCCTTGAAGACTAGAACCGGGAACTTAAAGAGAGCCCTTCATAATGCTGACTGCCAGAAGACTGTCACAATCTCAAAGCCCTGTGGGAAGCTTACCAAACCCAAACCTCAAGGTAAATTCCATTTGCTGAAAGCTGCCCACTAGTTCATTCAAATCACTGGATTTGTGATGTCCCGCATGCTTCAGTGGGAACAAAGTAGGACAGATTGTATTTTCATGGCCTTTCCTTAGTTCTGCACCGCTTCTATCTCTCAGCAGTCAGGCAGACAATATTCCTGAGTTGTATAGTCAGGGCAGTCTCACACACAAGAGGTAAACTGAAGATTAAGAGCTCCAATTTTAACCTTAGACCACTTGTGCTGCGACCAGCTTCCTGATGTGACTAGACTTCCAGAGTACAGATGCATTTCATAACTCCCCAGTTGATGAGAACAGACCAATGATAACATCTCTTGATAAAGACACCTTTTATAAAAGTTTTGTTTGGCATCAAATAATGACTAGTTTTAAAAAGGAAGGAAATGAGTTGAAAGTTGAAGGAAATGCTTTCCTTCTGGACAGGTAGCATCGAAGGGATGTTCTGCTCACTGCATGCTGAAATATGTGGATGTTCTGCACCCTTGGGATTGTATATTTTTTATTCAAAGACAGCAGTATTCTTGTTTAAGTGCAAGTGACAATATAATTCCTAGTACACAGAAAGGCATATGCTCTGCAGTTGTGTTTCCAGGTGTTTCTCAGATGAACTTATTTTCTTTCTAATGATTAAAGCCTGTTAATGTACTCTCTTGTTGGAGTAGCAGGTGTTATGTGTGTAGGATGATTTATAGTGGGAGCTAAAACTGTGAGATCCTGTTTGAGATAAAGAAGTAATGTGTTTTAAGTGAATCACATAAGGTATGCCACCCTGGCATTTGTTTGCTTAAAACCATCTAGGTTTAAAACATTCCAGGTTCTGAATACTGGGATAATTATAAAAATAAATGTGATTAAGAGTGACAGGTGCAACGGGGATGAGCAATTTTCAAACTGTTGATGGTAGTTTGCCATTGATCTGAGTGAGTGCCTGCAGGTGGCTTGCTCTGCTTGTGCAACCAGAGACATGTCTGATGAGGTTGCAGATGCTTTCTGGGTGTGCGAATGCATCTGTCTGCTTTGCAGTCAGTACAGGTGTAACTGGTCTTCCTCACACACCATTTGTGGAGTTACTAGATCAGCACTGAGCCTAGGCCCTGTGTAGATAATGACAAGCTGTGAAGCAGAAACTATATTTCACAAATAGAAACTAGGTTTTCAGAGACCAGCTGACTTGGTTGAGTTGGCAGCAATAAACATCTTCATTTGGGGGTGGAAGTGACTGAGTGGGAATGCAGGAAGGCCTTTGATTTCACTGTTTGTTAGTTTAGGGAGAAGGACCTTGTTTCCTTTTTTGCTGCCAGAAGACCTTTGCCACTCAAGCTGCTAGTAGCCATTTGCCAGGTTTTGCTCCCCACCCCGAATCAGTATATTCTGTCAATGGCTGTCAAAAGAGAGGAGAGGAAGACAAAGCAGAGCGTCAATGTAGCATTATTTTGTGAGAGCAATGCTCTTGGGTGGTACTGGGTCTTTTTCAAGTTACAGTTTTAAAGACAGCACTTGTGAAATTGCTGGATTGGAGTTAACTTTTACTGATTCTCGGTGTGAGAGAATTATAGCTGAGACTGAAACTTGGACTGGGACTGGCTGCAGCAAACCTAGTTATGTGGTTTGACTTGATTAGGAAACCTGGCTTCATTTGATTTGAAGGAATGCAAAAAGAGAAATACATGTGAACGTAGGTTTGCGATCAGAATAACTTTGTGTTTGCAATCTCACAGCATCTTCCCGCGTGCCACCTGCTCGTTCATCTGCTGTTGGCATTAGCAGGAACAGCGTGCAGGGAAGTCACACACTCGCAGCCTGCCTGGGTGCTGAGCTAAGTATAAGAATTCCATATTGCAGATCTGTGGGTGCACAGGAGCTACACTGCACATTATGTTGGCAGCAGTAGGAGGATCTAGAGTAAGAAATTAGGTCAAGCAGATTAGTACTGTATGAAATGTTGTGCCCTACTGAACTTGGTTTCCGAGTTAAAAATCTGGGTGCTGACGTGTTGACTGGAATTGAGAGTATTTGTTTCCTTCCTGAGGTGAAGGAAATTACAGGTTGGAGGTAAGTTTCCACCCACATGTAGATAAAGGAAAAATCAAACTATATTCAATGTATAGTTAGAATAGGACCCAATTTAATCCTTTGGAGATAAGAAGATCTAGATTATTGTCTGAGCCTTTGGAATGGACTGGAGATACATACTAAGCTCCCTTTCCACCCATAGCTTTGCATAAATGGCTCAAGACTGCAAGAGAAAAAGCATATTATGCATTACTTGGAAGCAGCAATTTTGTTTTGAGGCAGTGTTGCATAAGGTCTGTATTGACACATAGCTAGATGTGTAAATGCTGATCAAGTGCCATCCCTTTGTACTGTGATTGCCTGGAGTAACAGAGCAGTGGCCTTTTAGAATTTGGGAGCTCTGGCAGAACAGTAAGTGAGGGGCTTATTGATTACAGGAACCTGTTTTACTGCTAAACATTACCTTTCTGACTGGTGTATGCTTCAAGAGCTTGCATCACTGAATACATCTCTGACAGCAATAGGCTGGGAGTACCAAAAGAAGATATGAACTGACTGAGAATATTACTCTGAAAAATATCAAGTATTTTTAGAAAAAAAAATTTTTTTCGTTATTTTCCTGACTAACTTCCTTTCCTGTGCACTGGAATTTTCCTTCTGTTGTGTCACGTTTGTAATCTTTCAATTACATGAGTTTTCCTTCTGATTTTATGTTTTAAATGGGGTGAGTGAAAGCCCCTATTTGGCTTCTCCAATCAATTGTAGTTTTATATATCTTCTGTGACTTTCAATGCTTGCCGTCTTCTAAAAATAGAACCTCTAACTTAAGTGTTTCATTGTATAACAGTTTATCCATTTGTACTCAACTGGACTTACCTAAATTCCTTCTATTACTGAAAATCATTTTTGAGATGAAAAAAATGGACTGTACACAGTATTCCAAGTTCTCTACAGATTTGCGTTGAAAAAGAAAATACTGTTGTAATAATTCCTTTATTGTATATTACATCCGCTAAATAACTTAATTATGTTTTTCTTTTGATCACTGCTTGCATGTGGAGTAGGTATCTTTGTCTGAGACCTTCAGAATTCTCCCTCTTATATTTTATTTTTTTTTTTTTTTTTACAAAGTTAGTTAATGTGGACAGTTAAGAAGCCAAGAAGTTGTTTGGGAAGGACAGATTATTTCTTCTAGGCTTTCCCAGTTCTTACTCTGGCTTGGTGTCTAAAGTTCCTCCTCACCTTCCCTGTTCTTTGAGAAAAATGCATATAAGTGGATGATATTTGTAACTGCTGCTCTCTTGTTGCTCATCCACTTTTCCAGCTCATGAACATGCAGCAACTTTGCTGCTAGGGTGAATCCTGTGTCTGTCTCTTCTCTCGCTTAACTATTTTGAAGATGACTGCTGTTTCATAGGAGTTTAATTGGTGCTTAACAGAAAGGAAAATCATACCTTCAGTGAAATCCCAAGGGTTACCATTTTACAGATTTGCTGTTAAAGTATATTTTGGCTTTCCAGGAGCTTCTATGAGCTGTGACAAAACTTCTAAATTAAACAAGGAGGTAGATAGATACTCATTAACCTCGGGAATCAGTGCCTGCCTCATAAACCAGTGATCCAAATGTTCTTGTGGATTTGTTTTATCATTAGTCAGCATTCATGGAAAAGCCTTAAAATCTTTTTCAAGTGCTCTCATTATTTTGGAAACTAGGAAAAAAAACAACCCATAAAAATTGTCCTTATTAGCACTGCTCTGTCTCAGTATTTTTTATTCCGAGCAGCTGACTCGAAGTATGGATTGTAATCTGCAACATGGTCATTTTGGAGTTCACTGCTTGCAAGAGGAGAATCTGCTGTATGTTGGATTTAAGGGAGAGAGCAGATGATGAATCAGGAATTTGAATTTTATCTGGATTTCTGACAAGTGCTTCTCCATGGCTTTGCTGAGGTGTTCTTGGATTGGAAGAGAATGGCTTGGTCCTGGGCTGCTGTGCTGAAGTGTAGTTAACACTGGATAAAAACTGTTGTTTTTTCTTGAACATTGTGCATTTGGACAGAGAGATTGTCAGCTACAGTGATATTCTAGACACCATGGTCTGTACACAAATGAGGTCATGAGAAAGCCTGTCACAAAGGCTGGAAAGGATGAAAGGCTATTTTTTATCAGAAAATCCCCATGGAGGCAGCCACCTCTCCTCTAGCACTCACAATTCTAATCAGTATCTGCAAGGCCGGGGATGTTCAAGGTCTCCCTAAGCTATCTTGACAGATGTGAAAGACTCAGGTACTTCTGTCGAGTGGCTGCTCTAATGGCCAACTTGCGTTGAAGAGCAGAAAACACTTCCGACATACTCCATCTGGCCTACTTCACGGCCACCCAAACTTGATTGATGGTTGTTCGGGTTCCAGCCAGCCAGAAGATAAAAGAATGGGGTATTGTCAGGACTCAGGAAACATTTTGCTTTAACTGCTGAGAGAGTAGGAATTTATTTTTATTGAGCTGAGTTGCCTGGTAGGCTTTATTTCTTTTTGCGCTCTCTCCATCACTCTCATTCTCCCTCTCTTTCTCGCCTGATAACTTTTGTACTTTCAGCTATTTATTCTTCTGATTAAGATAAAATTAAATAGAATAAGCAGTCTGCCTGCTCTTTCTGCAATGTACCCTTCATTTTTTGAATTATGCTCCTTTCTGGTAATTTTTTTCACCCAGCAGTATTTAGTTCTTTTTAATAAATGTGCCTTCCCAACTTTTGATCAATTTTCAGTTCTATGAGTTTATCCTGGCTCAGCTCAGTCCTTGCCATACAGGAAAACAGTTCCAGATAAGGTTGGCAAAGTTGACACTGCTTGCACTGCTATTGTCTTTAGTAATTGGGGTGGCATGCAAAGATCACATCCTCCAACATGCAATGTTTGGAAAGGTTTCTCACATGAAGGCAAAACCTCCTGAGTTAATGGC